GGGGACAGTAAAGCCAAGGGGGAGCTGGGGGTAGAACTGCTTTCTCTGGAGGTGACTCCTGGGTGCTTTGTCCTGTCCCTGTTGAAAGGAAAAAGACATACATGAATGAGAAGAGGCAGGAGAAGGAAGGTTTGATAGCCACTGTACTGGGAGCTCTGAGTTACAGAGCCCAATATATAAATATACATTTTTTTATATATATATGTGTGTGTGTGTGTGTGTGTGTGTGTGTGTGTGGATATACCGGATCCTCAGACTCACCTCCTTTCATTGCAGCTTATCACTAGCTCAGCTGCAGTCTGGAGCATGGGACAGAGCCAGCGTGACAGCTCAGGGTTTGATTTCCCCACTTGGCCGTGGGTAACGTCAGGAAGCCACGACGTTGGGTAAGCCAAAACCCAACTGCAGCTATTGCAAAAGCTCTGTGAGAACCTGTACGTCCCTGGCTGGGCTTTCAGCCTGGTGTAGGGGTGGATCCAGCGTGGGGATGTGGCAGCTGTCCCCCTTCACCATATCGAGCTGGTGGGGCTCTTGGTCACTACGAGGGAGTCACTGAGTCTCGGAGACCCAGGCTTATGTCACGGACAAAGTCCTGGCTGGACCCTGATGCTGAGACACGGGTGTTTGGCTGGAAATCTTCCTATCCAGCAGCCCAGGGAAGAGCAGAGCAGGGCAGGAGCGCTCGGTGCTCAGCAGACCCAGCCCGACCTACAGCTCTGAAACTCCTCAGGCCTTGGGAAGCATCGGGGAGTAAAAGCAAGAGTTTCTCTTTAAGTGGATGGTGCTTCTGTGCTCCAAAGAAAACACATTTCTAAACTAATCCCTCGGTGCTAATTCCTCTGGACTGTAAACCCTTGAGAAATGAGCTGATTTGTATATATTGGCTGGCCTGGCAGGTTATGATTTGTATATATGGGCTGGCCTGGCAGGTTACTTGGCTTTCAGCACAGCACCCTGTTGGGATATGAACATGTCGGTGCAGATCACTTCTCCCCCTTAACCCCGCCTCAGTCCCATGCGTGTCACTCTCCTTCCCCAAAACACAACCTGCTTCCTGCAGACCCTCCCTGGCTACTGCAGGAGGGGAGCTGGTGCCATGGAAAAGCCATGGAAGCCCAGGCTGAGGTCCGTGGCCAAGGCAAGCAGCCCAGGGCTTTGCTTCCCATGAGCAGTCCCCCATAGGGGGATGTTGAATACCTTTTTTCCCCAAAAACCAAATCCTTGAATGCAGGTGAACAGGGGAGTGAGCAAAGGTCAGCAAGGACTTAGAGACCGTTACGGGTGTTTCAGTGTCAGGAATCCCTAGGAATTAGATGCTAAAACTACCCTCGAGGACGCCGCGGTCTGGACGGGATGCCTCTGTGCGTACCAACACCCCTCGTCATGAACGAAACCCAGGAGAGCACTTACTCCAGGCTGCGCAGCCTCCTCAGCTCTTCCTTGAGAGTTTTGTTCTCTTCCCTCAGGCGGTTCGTCTCGGCAGCTGCAGGGACACAAGTTGTGCCGTGGATTCGGGCGTCACAAGGAGGGAGCTGCTGCTCCTTGCAGCTCGCTGGGGTCACGGGGGAGGAGGAGGGAATGGCACCAGGTTTCGGAGGGATGCCAAATTCCCTTCCTTCTCTGAAAGCACACTGGGGGCTAAGCGACAAAGGGAGCAGCTTTCCGACTGGGGTGTGGTCCGGATTGGGGTCTCACGGCGGGACGGCGGGACGCAGTCGGGGCGGTGGCCGAGCACGGTGGGATGGACGCAGCC